TTAAGTCCAAATTGTGGCTAGTGTTTTTGTTTGTGCCATCGTCGTAATTTTGTAAGTTACGGTTTACCTTGTCAATAAATTTGTCCAAGTGCATTAATTTGAAATAGTTTTTTACTACTCCTATTATTGATGATGTTTGTGTAGTAGTGTCTATGTTATTGTCATCACCAGTATCATCAGCTTGATCATTTATTTTTGTGGTGGTAGTTGTACTTGTTGTTGTATTTAATGTTGCAATACTTTCATGGTCAGTTTGAATTGTTAGATTTATTGTTGATAAAACTGGCGATAATTTGATGTTGGTAATATTTGCATCACATATATTTAGTAATAAGCATACAATTACACACGTAGTTATTGATTTATTTATCATAATTATCGCAATTTTAATGGATTAACTGTAATAAATTAATTTAAGACATTAGACATTTTCAAAATGTTTGTTAATTATTTTACAGTTATTATAAATTTGTTACTTATATTATATTAGTATGTCTATAAGTTTATAAGCGTAAACTAATGTCATTTCTACGTTAACAAAATTTATAAAACATTAATATGTTAGTTTGATAATTTGTACAACAGAGCAAATTATAATAATAATTAATCAATATGTTTCTACACGTGGATAAATTTATGCGTCATATTATGTTTAATAATTAAAATTAAAACCATATTTACAAATTTATTTAATTAATCTTAACTTTTAGCACTACTTTTATTATAGCATAATTAAAAATATATATTTTAAATAAATTGCACCGTCCTTTGTAAACCAATAACACTGAATTAAACAATCTATTTAACTCAATTATATTTGCAACAATTAAAAGTTACAGTTTGTTTAAGATAATTGTTTGTACAAAAATAACCTCTATGGATTTATTAAAGATTTTATATTATTTATTTAAATTATGTTAATTATAAAATTTTAACAATCTGATTGAGATTATTTATAGTAATATATTGATTATTCTCAAAATTTATGCTAATCTTTAGGATAGTGATTAATGTAAATTCATTGTTTGGACTATTATCATGTATTATTAATTTCTCTAACTCTAGTATTATTAATTTAAAGTTTTACATTTTATAAATCTATAAAATGATTACGACTAATAAGCAGAATTATAAATATAATGGTACAAAATCATTATGAGCTAATTTTTCTTCAAACCCGCATATTTTATTTTCAAAATAAATTATTAAAAATTGATTAGTTTAGATAATTAAGTAATTCATTCACTATTAAATATATAATAATTTATAACTATTTAAATATGAAAGTTAATTATTTGTATACATTTAGTATAAGATTTTTTATAATTTTATTTATTAATTTATTAAATACTCAACATTTAATGAATTGCCAATTATTTGACGATAATCCGGATATATTTCGCCAATCAGTAAGCATAACACAATTTATGTATTTAATTATTAAACTATATTTTATACTTTTACTATATAAATTTAAATAAACTTTAATTAGAAACATTTATCACATGCTAAATAACACTGTTTAAATGACATGTTGCATTTATTATTACATTAGCACATCTTTAATCTATTTAAATATTTTTAATAATTACAATATTTTAAAACAAAAGCAAAAATCCAACTTTTTTATCATTTTTAAATATTCTTTATTTAAATACAATTACAATCATTTACTAATACCCTAGCCACAATTAATTGAATCACGTGGCTTTCAACCGGAAACCCATACAATAACTACAGCCGATGGCTATATATTACGAGTGTTTCGTATAGTCAACCGACAGCTCCGGAATAGTGGCCGTCGGTTAAGGCCCAGACCTCTAGTCCTATGGCATGGGGTGGCCGTCACATCTGACTCGTGGTTATTTTCAACTTTAGGTGCGATAGACAATCGCGGCTTATATCGGGAAAACAACGGTATTCTGAATGATTGTGACCGTAATGTTACGTCTACCTTAGCGTTTACGTTGTCTGCCTGTGGTTATGATGTATGGTTACCCAACACACGCGGCACTCACTATAGCCAGGATCATATTACCCTTAATTCTAATCGAGGTTTGTGAATTCATGAATATAGAAGTAACAATAACAAAATAATTACATCAATAGATTCTAGATACTGGCAGTTTACACTGACCGAAATGGCCGTGTATGATATACCTGCTGTGGTACGTTATATACTACAAATAACAAATTCTGGTAATTAAATTTATATTGTTTATATTGTTAATACAATATAATACATGATATAATAATAAATTTATTTTTTATTTAAATTACATAGATTCTGTCTCATACATTGGCCATTCGTTAGGCACAGCCCAGATGTTTGCGTTACTATCGTTAGTGCCTGACTTTGAACAATTTATCAAACCATTTATAGCATTGGCCCCTATTGCATACCTGGGTCATATTGAAAGTATAGGCAGGTTAGGTGTGCCGTTGGAGCCAATATTACGGTAACACTATTAATTAAACATATATAAAATTTGATATTCAATTAATAATAATCCCTGGCAAACACCCAGGGCATTCCCAGGACCATTAGGAATACCTGTACCAATTGCACAGATAATTGGTATATTTGTCTGCGGCAACGAATTGCTGGTGAATTTATGCGCTGATATATTTTACGCTATTAATGGTTACGATGCGCAAAATTTCAACAAGGTATTTACTTTTTGATTATAATTTAAATTATTTAAATATATTTAAAATAAAGATATATGCATCGGCTTATTCCAAAAATCTAGTTGTATAAATTATTTACTAAAATTATTCAAATTAATAGTATTAATAATTAACAGTTATTGACAGTTTATAATGTTGTAGTGTTACTATTACAATGTAACTTAATAATTCACACATGTACAATTTAATATAAAATTTTATTTCATTATTCTTATTTAAATTATTCTGATATAATGATAGTAACTAATATTATTTTATATACATTATACTTTATATTTAGTCAATAGTACCAATAGACGCGGCTCATTCGGGAGCATCAGTGTCCACGTGGGTGTACGCTCACCTTGCTCAATTAGTGGTTAATAAATGTTTTAGACGGTTTGATTATGGTATTACACAAAATCAGCGCCACTATGGCCAGGCCACACCACCTAGTTATCCACTGTGCAATATAACATCACGTAATATAGCACTGTTTAGAGGTCTTAATGACCTGTTGGCCGATAACATGGATGTCAGTTTACTTGTTCAACAATTATCTGGTTAACTTTTTGTTTTGTTTATTTGTTTGTTTTTTCAATAGACTAGAAATAATTTCCTTGTTTTGTTTGATCTAGTACCACTGCTCGATAATTATATAGTGCCCGATCCCAAGTGGAATCATCAAGATTTTCAACTCGGCACCTACCAGGGGTATTTTGTTAATGAACGCGTTTTAGGTGTTTTACGCCAATATGATTAAACAATAAACAAATATTTTAGTTTTTTATTTATAATTAATTACAAAGTTAATTAATTATGCATAGTATTAGTATTTACAAATATAAATGTATGTTTAACATAAAGTAAACTAATATTAAAATAATTATTATGTCATTTACTGTATTTATTTATAAGCTATATTGATATTATTATTAAATAAAACATAAACATGGTGTCTCAAAAATTGCTCCGAGAGCAATTTGTGTACATATCTGATCACATATATAATTTTTATACAAAGTATTAGGGCCTAAATAATTCTTATATAGTTAAACAAATAAAATAAAGCTTTGCAAAACATATTGGATATAACTAAAATAAAAATAGTCAGGAGTAAAAATACGGCGAGTATAACCATGTCCTTTGTTAATACCATTTGTATTTATTATTTAACATTATAAATAAACACATTTAATTTTAAAGTTTAGATAACATCTTGTTTTATTATTAAAATTTTGTAAAAAAATCAAAATTACTTAATATTAAGACAATAAAATCCATTTTACATTAATTTAATTTACATTTAATAAATATATAATTATTAATTTAGATTTAATTCGCTATCAGAGTTGCATAAAAATGTACATAGGTGCCAACACACACATTAATTAGTAAAACTAGAGTGGAACAAACAATTTCTTGCAAAATTCTATGCCTGTAAACTACAGTATAAAAGTTATTATTTGTCATTCACGCGAATACTTTTAATGCTCTATAAATAGCCATCACTTAAATGCACCGCATTTTGTAATCGTTATATTAATGCAACTTTTATTGAGACACACCATAAGCATCTCTCTCTCTCTCTCTCTCTCTCTCTCTCAACCCTCAGACTAACTCTAGGATACCGGCGCTGTCTCTCAACTATTTTGGTGCTTTAATCCTAAAGTTCCTAACACACATCTTATTTACAAAATAATAAACTAAAAAATAAAAATAAGTTATAAATTAAATTTTTGTTGTTGTAAAAGTTAGCTCTAATTATTAGTGATGATATAGTTTTTAATTACTTTGTTAATTTATAAATGTATAAATAAATAATAACTCAATTAGCAGTATTCTGTTAGGGTACATCATTTCGAGAGTAAGCTGTATTTTATGAACTAATACTTATAGCTATAATTAGTAACAACTAATAAGTGTTGCGAGAATTTTAAAATGTATTTCGCATTCATATATCATGAAAACACATATAAATTGTTATGTATTTACATAATGTCAAGAATTTCGCTGAATGTAAAACAAAAACAACATATAATTGTGTCCACATAAATGCTATAATAAAAATATACCATCATGACTAAGAAAGTAAACATAATATTCACCATTGTAATAATTATATCGTACTTGTATATAACATGTATACTATCTGTGCTAAACTCGTACACAATTGACAAACAATACATGATAAAATTCCTATTTCTACAACGCTATTTTAACTATTTTAGCTCGGTGCTACTATTCATCAGCGTGGTCATTATGTGCGTTAAAATATATGGCAAATTAGTGGCCATTAAACGGACCAAGTGCTACATACTAACCATTCACGGCATATTAATATCTGTATTCATAACTATACTAATAGTGGTGCCCATAGGCCAGCGGCGACTACGGCCATACATCGCTTTTGAGCACAGTTTCCGCGCGTCAATCATGTGGGAATTCCTGACAATCACGATAACCCTTATATACCTGTCAACCTTATGTCTGTTTGTCACAGTGTTAGAGTCCATGAGCTTTAATATATACCGATTCAAAGTGCTGCCGGTGAAACGGCCACCCCGTAGACCATCGCCGCAAGCCATGCGACCAGTGATGGTCAGACGCCGTCTGTCCGCTAATGGGCAGTACGTAACGACTGTTGTAAACGGCCCCCTCCCTCCCCATCACCCCCTCCACCATCAGTTACAGCTGCAACAGTTGCAACAACAACGAAAACATAAGCGACCTAGGCGTAATAATAACCCTCAAATTGTTGTGGTTAAGCCCGGCTCATCATAGTTATCTGGATGTTTTTACTTTATTAGGATTGTGTATGGACTAGGTTAAGTGTATTTTGTTACTTAATAATTTTTACAGTGTTGAATTAGAGATATGTTTTGTGATTTTGTACGTTATAAATAACTTTATTATAATTTATGTAATTTCTTAATGTATTTAATAAATATTAAATAAATAAAATTCTCAATAAATAATTAAGTTTACCCTAATTTACTTTTGTGTATAATTAAATAAACAACGCTTAAAAGTACACTTAATGATAAAAATAATATATTTTAATTAATTTTTACTACAAATAATAATATTTAATTTTTACTACAAATAATAATATTTAATTTTTCGTTTTAATTGAAATGATAAAACATTTATTTAGCATAGCTTACAAATAATAAAATTAATTCATAAATTTTTTATTGACTATATAACTTATTTCAATAAAAAATACTTGTATTAGTTACTATAAAACTTCAAATTTATTATTTAAAAGTGAATTTAGAGTAAACCATTTATACTAGTTTTAAGTAATAGTGTAGTTGTGATCGTGATAAGTGATAACTAATGACAGTTCTTAAAATTAAATATTTTCTAAAATTAACTAATTATATTAGCATGGCAATCATATATAAGTAGCTGTATTACATTTGTACATAATTAATACTGGACAATCAATTCTTATTGATTATTACTATTATTGGAGTTTCAAATAATTTGAACATATTATTATTTATTTATTACTTTAAAAATATTTATTTAAAAAAATAAAGTTGCAATAGTTATTTGCGCTAGTCTGGTTAGATGTGGTCTCATTGCAAAACGGGAAAATATTCCCAACCGACTCGAAAACCTTCCCAACTAAATGATTAAGATTATAAATAAAATTAGAATGTGATATCATTAGTAACTTTATAAATATAAAAATCAATAATGATATTAGAAAAATTAAAATTAAAACAAAATTATATACAAAGTTTTATTTATTTTTATTGTGGATTTTAAATTATAATTGTACTTGATTATTGTGTAATATAAGTTATAAAATTTAGTTTACTTGATTTTAAATAATTAAAATATCTGATGTTAATTGTATAAAACAAATTTATGTAAAATCTGTTATTTTTAAAAATGTTTAATTTTATTTAAAAAATTGTTGTTGTACTTTTATCTGGAATAAAACATTATATAAATTTTAATAAAAACCAATTGTCTTACAGCATACAGATTTTAGTAATTATAAACTTTCCAAAATGAACCATATAAATTTTGTTACCTTGTTAGTAGTGTTGGCCGCGTTTGCTGTATTTGTTTATGGCGATTCTATTTATAAGAGTAAACGAGCTACCCCATCAGGTATGACAATTAATTATGTTTATGAGATTTCATAGAGTGAAATAATTTTACAATTAAGTAATATACTTACATAATATATTAATAATTGTTTTAATTTTATATAGTTGACGAAATAAAGGCCGAGCTGGATACAATTCACGCGTGCATGACCAATTTTACCCAATTAGTTACCAAAATTAAGGATGCGTTATCAAGCACTACATCCTAAATATTTTTAATTGTGCTTTATAATAGAATATCATGACCGATAACTTTTCTATATATATTGCTATTTTTGTTTGTAATTTCTAATTTAATATAATAAATTAATTTGTTCTAAACAATTTATAAATAATTTCAATTTAATTTATATTTTTCATTTTATATTATATTTGTATTTTGTTTGTTTATTATTGTACTTTATATTTAATTAAATATTTAACTAAAGTTAATTAATTATTATGGTTTATGTAATGTAATTAATCATTGATTATTTAATTTTAACATTTAATAATTTTATAGATTTATTTAACCATATAAAATAAATAATGACCACAGAGTAATATTCGGATGATTCCCAAAAAATAAATTAGCATTAGTCTTATGGATTTGACATTGTTCATGGACTTAAATTAGTTTCAAAGATTGTCATTGTTGATAGACTCAGCATATCCCATGTTAAACCTATGAGGACTTTTTCATGTTAAAGTATAGGCATAGATTTAAGTTGTTATTCTATATTAAATTCCATAAACCACAATGTTCATATATTAATTGTGATCAAAAAATTTATTAAATGTTTTATTTAACATACAATATGCATGACATTATTTAGTGGATTTAAAACATTATTTCAATTTTGTTAAATAAATAATTATTTTTTATGAAATTGTGAGGCGCTTAAAATAACTGTTTAAAATGATAGAATTTAGTTAAAAGTCTGTCATCATTGACAAATAAAATTTACATATGGTTATGTAGTAAACAAACTATCGTATGATTAATGCAAAATTAACAAATAAAATATTCTCATCCGTTCTATGTCAATCAAAAAATACTAACAGTTGTTAATGTGTTACAATAACAATTCAAATAAAATAAACTTTAATTCATAAAAATTACACACAATTTCTATAAAAACAACTAGCTGTAAAATTTCCAAGTATACCATCAGTAGACCGTCAATTTCTAAGTAAACCATGAAGCCAATCACTATTTTATGCATTGCTGTAGCGTTGCTCGTAATTATCGATATCGCTAACGTTGGTGTTGCGGCTGATCTTCAATCTAGTATGTACCCATGCACATTAATATATTAATTTTATAAAATACATATGGTATAATATTAAATCATAATTTTTTATTTGCTCCAATTAAGACATTGAGGACATTAAATCAAAGGTGGAAGATGCTATCAAGAAATTTACAAGCACACTTACTGATATTAAAGATAAAATAGAATCATTGGGTAAAGGCAAGCAAGCAAGCACTACAAGTGGTTAATTTGTATTAAATTATGTTATAAACATGCAAATATTAAAATAATTTAAACAGTTTCTAAACATATTTTAGAACTTTATTAAGTTTGTTAGACATGTTATTTTGTAAAAACTAAATATTATTTTATTTTATTATTTGTGTGATTTAGTAATCGAAATAAAATATTTAATCATTTTATATTTAATGATTTATATAAACTTTACTCAATATCAAGTAAATTGTGTTCTTATAAATATTTTTGTTCTTATAAACTAATTTTAAATAAAATTTGTTATGCTATTAAACCATTAATGTAAAGCATAAAACTGTAACAATGTCAATCAATCCAATTTGAATAATAAAAAATATGGCAATAAATGAATAAAAATATTTTATTAGAAACAAATATTAATTTTAATTACATAAAAATATTTGTTACCATAAAATACAACAAATTTTATGGAAAAATTTAACATTTATAAATTATAAAATATATGTTTAATTTATATCATTTATTTTATTATTTTAATAATGAAACAATTATACCTTATTGTTACTTTTATCATGCTTACCGTTTTGTCGGACACATTTGTGGTTGCAGATAATAAAATTAGTAAGTTTTGTGTTAATAGATTTATTTAAAAATTATTGATAAATGTTACTTTTTAAAATAAGTTTCAACTGTAATGAAAGCAAAATTAGACGATCTTGTTCATAAACTACTCCCTAGACTGATTGAGGTGAAAGATAAGCTACTATCAGCTTTAGATGGTGGCTAAACAGTATGATAGTTTGTGCATTGTAAAAATACTACAAGACTATGTAATATAATAATAGACTGTGTAATACTATCAGTCATTAGGAGTATACTGCAATTGTACCTCCATTCATTGTGTGTTGAATGTTGGAATCTAATAAAGGATATTATTATAATAAATTAATTTGAATTGTAAAAAGCAGATTTAAATAACATTTTATTTAATAAACTTTATTTATTACATATACTTGTTAATTTAATTTAAATTTAACCAATATAAATGAAATTAAAATAATAATATCAAAAAAAATTCAAACACACCCAGTTGAACTCTGCTCGTAACGAACCCGAAAGCCTCGGGCAAAGGCCGGATCCTGAAAAGTGTCCGAATGGAATCTTAACGCTATCATACCATTGGCTTTTGACACAACGGGGGCGTCAGTGACAGCCCCGGGCAGCCAATTGAAACGCCCGCCGCAATATCGGTCAGCGGTGGGCGGGTCACCGGTCTCGGAGCCACCCGCTATAAGTAGATAATCGCCGGCGCACTGTTGGTCGCCCACCGCTGACCGATCTTTGGCCGCCTGTGCGCTGTCCAGAGACCACTCCCTATCGCCGACCACCCGGTAGGTGACCCGACACGTGTTGGGCGCCCGCTCTACGCACACCCCGTAGTCCAAGTTGTTTAGGTACTGATTGCCATAATTGAATGACTCAATCACCTTCGTTGGTTCCGTATGGTACTGGTCAAATCATTCATAATTTAAATTATTGTTTTGATAGATAAACAGTAAAACACATACCTGTAGGCAGCCATTTGGTGCAGGTGGATAAACACCAGGTAATCTACCTGGTCTGCAATCAATTTGGGTCATCTTAATCTGCCACCGATAGTCGCCTATTGAGTTAGTATCAAATATAATGATCACGGTTCTTGTGGCTGACCCGCCATTTGGTACGTGTACATAGACTTAAGATGTGAAAACAAAAGTTACATGTAGTTACAGTTTTAAATTTTTAAGATAATCATAATAAGACAAGTTGTACCATGTTGGTTAGTGTTTCGGCCGCAAAGCATTGGGATTTGTCCCGTCCCGCCCGATGACGATACACGAAACTTGTCACCTAGACAGTCGCCCAATGTTGGCTGATCTAGATCAAAGTCTATAAAATCTAAGCGCACCTGGCACACATCTGGATCCCTTATTTGAAGCGTCATGGTACAAATATTTGCACCTGTATCAAATCGTGGGTAGCCAGGGTTTTTGAAATACACAACTTTGTCCGATGTTTGTTTATTACAAGACTTTGCCACTTGGAAAATAGACATAAAATATATTTATTTAACAATGTAAATTTTAAGATACTCGTTGACTTACCCACACAACAGGCCCCTAAACCCAAAGCACATATACCACTGTATGCGCCGCCTATTACTGTGCATTTCAAACGGGTATAACAAATGCCCATTTGGTTGAGATTATCATAGCACTGGTCGTTAAGCCATTTTATTGGAAATACTGGTTATATTTTTAACATAGTTTATAAATAATAAATATATTTAAACTAGATCATTAATATGAACGTAGAAACTTACGCCACATGGTATCCAATTTGATTGAATTATTGTTAACATTGTTTCCAATTAACAAATCCGTAACGTTATGTTGATTGCAATTTATTAGAATAATTGAATTAATAAATAACAAACAAATGGTTAGTAATTTTTCAATCATTGTATTAATTTTAATTATTAATTTTTTAAACAATAGTTTTAACAAAGATAATATTTAGAAACAAATAAAATGCTAATTTATAAATTTATTTATATACCCTCATTCATGCATTATTACATTGATATGCAAAATAGTAATATATTTTCTATGGAGATTATAATAGCAACAACCTAACATTAGAAATGATCATTTGGAATTTATATTGCTTCAAAACATGATCCGGATAACTATTTTCTTAATAATAAAATTGGTATTTATTTTATTGTATGAATTAATAGCCAAAAACGTATGGAGATTGTATTAAAATGAGTAATGCAAAAGTGATGTTTCCATATCTCCTAATAAACTGTAAATTAATATTTTAGATATTATTCGTTCACTTTATAAATTAACTATATTGGAAGTCACAAAGAGAGCGATACTGAAATTTTTTGCTTCATTTAAAATACAATAATAATTACTAACATCATATTTAAATTATAATAAAATCTCTCTCTCTCTCTCTCTCTCTCTCTCTCTCTCTCTCTTGATGAATATGAAAAATAAAATTGTACTGTGTACTATAAGTTTATTATCTATTT